GTAGGAGCTCAGAGTCACTTTTTGATAATCTCTGGTTGAAATCCTAACAAGTTTTTCACATATTAAGGCACATGTTTAACCATATATTTTAGCCCCTAAAAGCTCCTCTTGAACAATCTGCTGAAAGATCCCATGTATCACATTGATGATTCTGAGTTATTTCCTATTGGCGAGGGGCAAAGGCATTTATCATTTAATAACTATCTTAGGTCATATTCAAACTTGGATTGATATACTAGCATCTGTAAATCTCAGTTAATGACACTTTAAAGTGTCCGTTACGTCTTTGATATGAAATACCGGCATAGTTGTATTTCTTGATTTTATAGATGCCTCTAGTGACTTTTTATGCTGTGTTACATATTTAGTTTTCCTGCACTGTGTCAGTATTTTGTGACATAAATCTTTTGGATGACTGTGCCCAATGGCCGAGGAATAAAAAGTTTCTCTAAAGATCTCTTAGCCCAATTAGAATATTGGTGATCCCCAAAAGTGGCTCTCATCATGCAGTAGTATTCAGCCCCCCAAAGAAGACACATTTCCAGTTTTAACTGTAGAAGATTTCCTCCAATCTTCACTTTGGAGGCATATTGACTGTTTCCTTTGACTGAAAACTGGACTGTCTTCATATATTTCCCAATGGTCTTAAAACTCAATCATGATACTTGTGTAATGAGTTACTACTTTACCTGCCTAAAGACTCTTTGAAATGTAGTGATGCTGAGTTATTTAAGGCCCATTAAGGATGTTTATCAGGATTCAGAAAGGCAGATTCATGAAAAACCCATTAATTATATTTATTCTGTTGACTTATTTTTAGAGGAATGTAGCCCTATTATAACTCAGAATGTCCCAAGGAATAGATTTTGATGTTGGTCATTGAGCTTTTCTGAATAAACTTTATTCCAAGGTGGCTTCTTCTGTAAGGATGATTTTGACTTTCAAATTTGTTTTAGAACATTTTTTAATAAATTGAATCAGACACATATCAGAGAATTGTTTCAAAATCCTCAGTTTGAGAATGCTTGTGACCTTGACTGTCTTTGTTTGTTTTATGTTGTTGTTATTATTATTTTTATTTTAATCTTGGCATAGGCCAGCACCTGGCAAGGTTTTTGAGATACAAATAAAAATAGATGTGGTTTCTGATCTCATAAAGCACCTAGAAAATATGCAGTTTTGTTACGTCTGTTCAGTTCAGTCTGTACTTTGTCTTAAAATTTGTTAAGAATTTCATATACACATATGACATAGTGACTCTTTTTGAATATTTGTATGTTGGTACATGATTTATTTCATAGCTCTGCTTTGCTTTTAAGTGTGTGAATATTCTATATTTCTTCATGCATACAAACATATACATATGCCCACTACCAAATAGCTACTGGTTAAATGAGTTATCACTGTATCTACTCATTAGCAGTGAGTAATAACAAAAGATGAAGAACATTTAGTGTTACAGATTTTTTCTTACTTTTATCATCTCTCAATAAAGCAATATGGCAGGCTTCTAGTTCATTGTTTCAGGAGCCCATGCATTGGAGCATGTAAAAGTGACTTGTCCCTGGTCAGTCATCCTTTTCTGTATGATCAGGATTCCAAGTGGATTTTTTGGCTACAGCATTTCTATTTTAATCCCAACAGGAGATACAAATGCTTATAAACATCAACTAGAAAACATTTATATATATTTAGTTATTTTTATGAAGTTATTTTTTAGTCACTAGTCACTAAATCATGGCTGACTCTCTTGTAACACCATAGACTATGGCCTTCCAGGCTCTGTCCATGGGATTTCCCAGGCAAGAAGACTGGAGTGGGTTGCCATTTCCTTCTCCAGGAGGTCTTCCCAAACCCAGAAATCGAACCCACATCTGTCTCCTGCATTGGCAGGCGGACTCTTTAGCCCTGAGCCACCAGAGAAGCCCTTTATGAAGTATGCTATAACATTAAAAAAAAGAAGTGAAACATCAGTGTGAATCTGAATGTTGTTGATGTGAGAAAAACACTTTCCTAATACTTCATTTTTAAAGCATGAGTAGAAACCCAATTGCTTCTGCAATAGCATTAGTCAATTTATTTTTCTTGCTCACAGCCCTAGTGTTCACAGATGTTAGTTGCCTTGAATATGCATCAGTAGAAAGTGTAAACCACAGCCTATAGTAGCAATTGCAAATTTCACCTCACTTACACAGTCAGATATCTATTTATGACTATCCCTCTTTATCCTATGTATGCCCTTGTACCTTTCATGTCTTTGGTGTTCATTCTATCAAAAAAAGTTAATTTTCTCTAGTGTATCAAGATGAAGATTGTGTCTACTATTTTACTTAAATAGCATGAGAATTTATATGCCCACTAGGTAGCTAATTTTATTTCCTTTGATAATTTCTCTTCTACACAATACAGGTTCCTCTATATTAGTGGTAATTCAGGTTAAATCTGCATGTTAAAAAAAGACAGTAGACCAGTGAAAAATTTAGCCAAGTATCATATAACCAAAATAAATTGTCCTCTTTTAACCCTGAGCAAATGTGAATGTTAAAGTTTTATATAATTTTTAGAAATTATAAAGTAATAAATTATAGACATTTGATCAGTCCCATCGAAAGCAGAAACAATCAGTTTAAAAGTAGGGTAAATTCTTTAACTAGTTATGTAATTTAATAAGTGGATTAAGTTTTACTTACTGTTAAAAATATAAAATGAATCTCTAAAACATAAGACATATTGTAAGTTTTAAAAAAGAGAAATTATGCAATAAAATAATCCCCCAAATAAAAGATTTATGCACAACAAAACCAAGTGCTTGATTCTGTAATTCATGTATTTATCCTTTCAACAGATCCTTTTTGATTCCCTTACAATAAATAGAAAAAAGTCTGCTTTTAAGTAGCTTAAATTTTACTGGGAAAAATCATCCTTACAAAATAGAAATAAGCAAGATAATTTCAGATTGCAATAATTCCTTGAAGAAAATAAATAGCTAAGACGGAGCTTGAGTTAAGTCAGCCACTTTGGGTGGACTGCTTAAGAAATCCCTTTCAGAAGAAGTGATTTTTGAGATGGAGAACCAGGAAAATATAGGACTTTGTGAGTATCAGGGGTGGGGAAATTCATATTCTAGGCAGAGAGAACAGATGTGAAGACTGGAAATAGTGAGTGAGGACTTGGTATGAGATCAAATTGGGAAGAAAAGGTTAGGTTATTCAGGTAGCAGCAGGTCATAGCCAAGATTGGGAATTTTTTGGAAGAGCCTCTAAAAATTTTGAAGAGGAGTGGTAGAATCCTATCTGTGTCTTTAAAATGTGTTACCATTGTATGAATAATAGTAGGGAGGCAGATGGAGAGACTGGGAGACCAAGATACTGTAGTAACATGGAAGTCGGGCAATGTGGCCATAGATGCTGAAGAAGGCAGATGGCTGAGGAGCTGAGGCAGAGAATCCTCCTGGTAAAGGAGAGGAAGGAGTCCAAGATGAACAACAGTCAGAGGATACTCACTTATGACTAAATAGGAAAGCAAAAATTAGCAAAGCACGAACCTTAATGAAGCAGTAATCAAACTAAAGAGGCAGGAACTACTTACATTACCTCAATTATGCATTTCATCCTACGACAAAGGAATAAGACGCTTAAACCTGACCGAGGAATTTCATAGATACAGTCTACCTGGACTAATTGTCTAAGTCGTGCTCAAGACCTTTTCTTTTTTTTTTGGCCATGAAGCATGTGGGATCCTAGCTCCCCAACAGGGGATCAATTCTGTACCTCTGCATAGGAAGGCAGATTCGTAACCACTGGGCCATCAGGGAAGCCCATTGCCTGAGACCATTTAATGGGAAAGGTCTAGCTGTGGATTGTTTCTCTCAAGCTAGGGCTGCATTTATTTCTCTGTTTCCAACACAAGTACAGTGCCTCTCATAGTAGAGTATGCCAAAGTTCATCAACTTTAACACCAGTTTTTCCTCTTGGTTTTGTTCACCAGATGTACTCTTCTATATTCTTTACATAAATTATTATATTACTTCATCTGGAAACTGTTAAGTAATTATTATTGTTATTAAAATGCCCCCTTTTTACAGACAAAGAAGCTAAGGTTGGTTAGGAGATATTGACCATCTTGACGTATATCACAGTTTTAACGAGGCAGAATTAGGATTCATACCTTTGTCTGTTGTGTTTTAAAGTGTGCTTTTTCATAACATTATGCTGCCTTATTGATCAGAAATCATACTGATAAAGCACTTAGGACTGTATGTTTTTTGGCTCTTTCTAGTATGTCTTCTTTTAGTGAAAAGAGAGGTTAGTGAAAAATGATGACAGAGAAATATAAAGACACTGGAGACATATACATCTTTCCCTGATAAATTATAAAGGTACCGTGTGTTTTAAATGAATAATCCTGCCAGCCAATAGGAGGAAACTCTCTAAAGGGCCATGAGAAAGGTTATTCAGGACAGAGCAAATTAGGTGACAGATGAAAGACTTATTGTGTGTTATACTAACACACTTGCAAAGCACTGCACTCTGTATAGAAAGGTCAAAAATGATGGAGCAAAGCTGAGATTGTTGGGAAATTTGATTGTAAGATCTTGAGAAAAGGAGAAAACAAACAAGAGTGGAAGACTGAGAGCCACATTGATTTTCTCAATCACCTGTCCTGCTTGTAAAATAGAGTCCTGGGATGGCCCCATTCCATCCCAAGAGCTTCTGGAGAAGAGAAACTGCCTGTTTAAAAAATGCTTCCAGGCGATTTGGGGTCAGGTAGGTAATGGACCAAACCTTGGGAGAATACTGATTTAGTACACTCTGTTTAATTTACAAAGCATCATGAGGCTCATCAAGGAAAATGATTATCCAAAGTTTTATCACTCTTTTTGTTAGAGATTAGGCTAAATCAGGCTCCTTGAGACCCAGTGCTGTCTTCTTTGAGACCTAATTTTTCCAGCTCAGTCATGGACCAGCTAACAGCATATATCATTGACATTTCTTTTTTAGAATTACAACCACAGCTGCCTGCATGATGGACCTGAGGCGGTACCCACTGGATGAACAAAACTGCACCTTGGAAATTGAAAGTTGTAAGTTTTTTTGAGAATCCAGCTAGACTGCACTTGGGTTTAAGGTTCTCCTTGGGCATAATCTCCTACCCTCTTTCATGTTCAGACCACAGTCTTGCAAAGTTTGTGCTAGCATGCCAAATTTGGTGGAGGGAGGCACTGGCAGTGTCTTCCTTCCATGATGCTGCCACCCTCGTCATCTCATCCTTAAATTCCAGGAGAGAAGTGTAGGGAAGCAGTAATCTAGCAATTAAAGGGAAATGCTGAGTCTGAAAGGAGACTAATGGTTATTTTGGGCATTTATTATATGGAATTAGTGCAGAGAGCTGCAACAGGGAAAATAGATGGAGATGGCAGGATGATACAAGATGCCCTAATTGTCTTTGCCTTTTACAAACATTATCTCTGCAACTGCAGAGTAAAGATGGCCTCTGAATTAGTTAACGTATTCATACATGGTGACTCGGTGGGTTTTCTCTTTCGAGAAACTATTTTCAGTGTCTAAAATGTATTTTATATTCTTGCTGAAGGCTTAATGATGAGCAAGTTTGATGCATGTGTGTATTCTGTTTCCTGTGCTGACCTGTTTAGAGTGTTGGTGCTTTTTCTAGGCCACAGTTTCAGCATCCTTCTTGACAATTCAGCTACCTACACTTTTGTGTAGGCTAAAACATTGATTTCATAACCCATTACCTTTTCAGAGGTCACACAGTGAGGCCATTTAAGGTAGAGTAGGACTTTGAATCTTTTTTTTCTCTGCCAATTTTTTGTGTTGGTTTTATATTTCATTCTGTCAAACAATTGGAAGCTGATGATTTTATATCCAGCATTCTAAATAATGAGTAGCTTGACTGCTTTCCTTATACCCTCTGCCTTTCGGAGGAACTCAAGCCTTGGCAAGCTGTGAAACTCTAAATCACTGCTTTGAGCAGAAATACAGCATTTATGACACATTCCTGGTATTTTTGCCCATTTCAAAAAATAACTTCGAGGGATAATTAAATTTACATGTACTTTTTGAAAGCCTGATTTCATACTTGCATTTCCAAATCATCATTGTTTTCACATTAGATCTTTGCTACAAGAAGCTATTTAATGAAATTGGTCTCTGGGATTTTGATCGTTTGTTATGTAGATATCTTTCAAATGGCATTGTGTTTTCATAACTTATGATACAGTTTAGAGAATAGTGTTCCTCAAAGTTCTGATTCTTTGGTTGCTTCAAAAGTTGATGTAAGGATAATTTGAAAAAAGTTTGTTGTTTTGTACTAATGAATTTTTGTGGTAAGAGCATTTTTTTGTGATAGAATTTGACTGATATTTTAAATAATCATAATTGTACATGATTAAAGCATTTGTACTGGTATTATTTCATTTAAGCCTTTCACAACCCTCATAGGTAAGTAAACAAGGTCTTTTTATTTTAAAAAATACTGATGATGCCTAATAAATAACACAATCAACACCCAAGTGTTCCATGTCATATAGTTCTGACATGAATATTTAAAATTAACGTGATAGATAATTCCTTAGACTTCTAGAAGTTTAAGTTTTATAGAGAGGCTTTCATCTATCTTATTTCAGTTTACAATTACCCTGATAAATGATAGAGATTTTTTCAACTTTTTTGAGAAATAATTGACATATTGTCAATTGATATAATTGACATATGACATTATGTGAGCTTAAGATGCACCATGTAATGATTTGTTATGTGTATATATTACAAAATGATCACTACTGTGAGGTTATTTAAAACATTCATTGCTTCAAATAGTTATGAAGTGTGTGTGAAGAACTTCTAATATTTACTCTCTTAGCAACTTTAAGTACATAGTACAGCCTTATTAGCTATAGTCACCATTCTGTAGATTAGATACTCTGATCTTATTCACCTTATAGCTGAAAGTTTGTACCTTTTAACTGTTTCTATGAGTTCTTTTTAGATTCCACATGTAAGTAAGATCATACAAAATTGGTCTTTCTTTCTCTGACTTACTTCCCTTAACCTAATGCCCTCATGGTTCATTCATATTGTCACAAGCGGCAGGATTTCCTTTTCATAGAAGAATAATGTTCCATTGTGTATGTGTGTGTCACCTTTTCTTTATCCATTCATCCCAACAGTAGACATTTAGGTTGACTCCATGTCTGGGCTGTTGCACAGAATGCTGTAATGAACCTGGGCATGTAGGAACCTCTCAGCAATAGTGCCTTAATTTCTTTTGGATGTGTATCCAGAAGCAGGATTACTGGATCATATGGTAGGTCTGCTTTTAATTTTTTGAGAAACTTCCATGCTGTTTTCCATAGTGACTATACTAATTTGTATTCTCATTAGTGCACAAGATTCCCTGTCCTTCACATTCTAGCTAGCAAGCACTTATCTCTTACCTTTTTAATGATGATTATTCTGGCAGGTGCGAGGTGGTTATTCATTGTGGTTTTGATTTGCATTTCCATGGTATAAATTATTTTGCATGGGTTTTCCAGTTTTCCCAACACCTTTTTTTGACTGAGACTTTTCTCTATTGATTGTTCTTAACTCCCTTGTCAGATATTAGCTGTCCATAAATGTGAGGGTTTATTTCTGGACTCTCAATTCTGTTCCATTGGTCTATGTGTGTTTTTATGACAGACCCGTTCTGTTTCGATTACTATAGCTTAATAGTATAGTTTAAAATCAGGAGTATGATATCTTCAGTTTTATTATTCTTATTCAAGATTGCTTTACCTACTCAGGATCTTCTGTCATTCCATACAAATTTTAGGATTGTTTGTTCCATTTCTGTAAAAACTTCAGTGGAATTTTGGTAAGTGTTGCATTGAACCTATAGATGCTTTGGGTAGTGGACATTTTAACAATTCTAATTCTTCTGACTCATGAACATAGAATATCTTTCCATTTATTTGCATCTTAGTTTCTTTCTTCAGTGTCTTACAGATTTCATTATACAGATTTTTAATGTCCTTGATTAAACATTCTATATTTCTAAGTATTGTGTTGTTTTTGATGCTATTGCGAATAGGATTGTTTTCTTTATTTCATTTTCTGATAGTTCATTGTTAGTGTGTAAAATTGCAACTGATTTTTGTATGTTAATTTTGTGTACTGCAGCTTTTTTGAATTTGTTTTCTTGCAGCTTTTTGGAAATCTCTAAGGTTTTCTATGTGAAAGATCATATCACCTGCAAATAGAGACATTTTTTTCTTCTTGCTAATTTTGATATCTTTTATTTCTTTTTCTCTTTCTTGATTGCTATGACTGGGACTTCTAGTACTGTGTTGAATAGGAATGGTGAGAGTGGACCCCTTATTTCTGATCTTAGAGGAAAAGCTTTCATCCTTTCATCCTTGAGTATGATATGAACTGTGAGCTTGTTATATAATGGCCTTTATTATGTTGAAATACATCCCTTCTAACCTAATTTGACAAAGGTTTTTATCATGAAAAAAAAGTTGATGTTTTTTCAAATGCTTTTCTGTATCTGTTGAGTTAATCATATGATTTTTATCTTTAATTTTGATTTGCATATGCTGAAACATCCTTGCATCCCAGAGATGAATCCTACCTGCTTATGGTGTATGATTTTTCCAGTGGGCTGTTGAATTTGGTTTACTATTATTCTGTTGAAGATTTTTGCATCTATACATGTCAAGGGTATTAGCCTGTAGTTTTCTTTTCTTGCAGTATCCTTGTCTAGCATTGGTGTCAGGGTAATCCTGGCCCTGTAAAATAAGTTTGGGAGCATTCCTTTCTCTCTAATTTTTTGGAGGGGTTTGAGAATAATTGGCATTAATTCTTCTTTAAATGCTTGGTAAAATTCACCAGTGAAAACATTTGCTTCTGGGCTTTTTTGGGAAGTTTTTCAATGCTGATTTGATCTTCTCACTAATAATTGGTTTGTTTTTATTTTCTATTTCTTCATGATTCAGTCTTAGTAAACTGTATGTTTCTAGTAATATATCCATTTCTTCTAGGTTATTTAACTTACTGGCAAGGTTGAACTTACTGGCATACAGTTGTTCATAGTAGTCTCATCAACCTTTGTATTTTTTGGTATTAGCTGAAATGTCTTCTCTTTCATTAATCATTTTGTTTATTTTTGCCCTTCCTCTTTTTTTCTGGGTTAGTCTAGTTAACAGCTGTCAATTTTTTAATCTTTTCAAATACCCAGCTCTTAATCTTGCTAGTCTTTTCATTTATAGTTGTTTTCTTTTCATTGGTATCCTGTTCTCTATAGTGCCAACTTTGAGCCTAGATTTTTCTTCTTTTCCTGGTTCTTCAAGGTAGTTTATTGGAGAACTTTATTTTTTTTTTAATTCATACGTGTGTTTATAGCTGCGAACTTTCCTCTTGGAATTGTTTTTGTTGCATTCCATAAGTTTGTCATGTTGTGTTTCTATTTCGTTTACTTCGAGAACTGTTTTATTTCTCTTTTGGTTTGTTATTTGATAAATTAGTTGTTTAGGATTGAGTTGTTTTATTTTCATGTGTGTGTGAGTTTCCTGTTACTGATTTCTAGTTTCATACCATTGTGGTCGAAAAAGATACTTAATATAATTTCTATCTTATTGAACTTGTTAGACTTGTTTTATGACCTAGCTTATAATCTATATTAGAAAGTGTTCTCTGCATGCTTTAGAGGAAGCTATAATCTGTTGCTTTCAGGTGGACTGTCCTATATGTCTGTTAGGTCCATCTGTTCTATAGTATTGTTCAAAACTACTCTTGCGTTATTGATTCTCGGTCTGGACAATCTCTCCATTGTTAACAGTGGGAAATCGAAGTCCCCAGCTATTAATGTATTCCTATTTATTTCTCCTTTTAATTTTGTTAGTATTTCCTTTATATATTAAGGTGCTGTGATGTTGCATGTATAGTTACAGTTTCTATATCCCCTTGATAAATTGACACCTTTATCATTATATAATAATCTTCTTTGTCTCCTGTGAGCATTTTAATTTAAAGTCTATAATGGATGTATTAATATTTACAACTACAGAAAGACACTAGAGGA